AAAAAAAAAAACAGGGACATAACAATTCCTATTTCACGGAGTTGTTATAAGGCTTACATAGGTCAACATGTGAAGTACTTCTTAGAACAATGCTAGGAACATAGTAAATGCTCACAAGTTTTGATCAACCCCATTGCACCAGAGAATACTTACATGGCTTATCCAATAAACTGAGATATGTTTAATCCAGTCAGGTTAAATATAATGTAGTAAACTAAATTCTGTGTAATGCTGTATCTTTTTTTTTTCAAGTGATCCTCCTGGCTTAGCCTTCCCAGTAGCTAGGACTATAGATGCATACTCCTGTGCCCAGCTAATTTTTCAATTTTTAGTAGAGACATGGATTCACTCTTGTTCAGGGTGGTCTTGAACTCCTGAGCTCAAGGGGTCCTCCCTCCTCAGGCTTTCAGAGTTCTAACATTATAGGCATGAGTAAGCCACTATGCCTGGCCTACCAGTTGTCTTTCTTTAATGACCTATATGCCCACCATCTTTTTAAATTTTTAAAAATTTAAAATATATCAAGGGCCAGGCACAGTGGCTCATGCCTGTAATCCTAGCACTCTGGGAGGCTGAGGCAGGTGGATTGCTTGAGCTCACGAGTTCGAGACCAGCCTAAGCAAAAGTGAGATCTCGTCTCTACTAAAAATAGAAAAAATGAGCCAAGAGGATAGCTTGAGCCCAAGTTGGAGGTCGCTATGAGTTATGATGCCACAACACTCTACCCAGGGCGACAGCTGGAGACTGTCTCAAAAAATAAATAAAATAAAATTTATTATCTAATGTAATAAAACAAAACCAAGAAACATACACAAATTGTAAAGAAAAAATATAATGCATATCTGTAAGCCTACCACCAAATAAATCTAAGCACTAGAACATTTTCTTTTCTTTTTTTCCTTTTTTGAGACAGAACCTCAAGCTGTTACCCTGGGTAGAGTGCAGTGGCATCACACCTCACAGCAACCTCCAACTCCTGGGCTTAAGTGATTCTCTTGCAACAGCCTCTAAAGTAGCTGGGACTACAGGCACTCGCCACAACACCTGGCTATTTTTTGGTTATAGTTGTCACTGTTGTTTGGCAGGTCCAGGCTGGATTTGAACCCTCTAGCTCTGGTGTATGTGGTCGGTGTCTTAGCTGCTTGAGCTACAGGTGCTGAGCCACACTAGAACATTTTCTTTTTGTCTCACTTTGTCACCCTCAGTACGGTACCATGACATCACAGCTCACAGCCACCTCAAACTCTTGGGTTAAGCAATTCACCAGCCTCTGCCTCCCAAGTAGCTAGGACTGCTGTGCCATCCACAGCACCCAGGTATTTTTAGAGACAAGGTCTTGCTCTGGCTCAAGATGGCCATGAACTTGGGAGCTCAGACAATCCACCCACCTCAAGCTTCCCAAAGTGCTAGGATTATAGACGTCAGCCACTGCACCCGGCCACTAGAGCATTTTCAATATGCCTGAATTTACTTGTGGGTTCTCTCTTCCCTTATGCCAGGCTCCTTCATCCTCAACCCTCTCCACTCAAAAAAACCCTTGCTATCACGATTTGTTATAATGTTCTGGGTTTTTTTAATTTTTTTTTTTTTGGCTGAGGCTGGGTTTGAACCCACCACTTTCGGCATGTGGGGCCAGTGCCTTACTCCATTGAGCCATAGACGCCACCCAATTTCTTTTCTTTTTTTTTTTTATTGACAGTCTCACTTTGTCACCCTCAGTAGAGTACTGTGGCATCACAGCTCATAGTAACCTCCAACTCCTGGGCTTAGGCGATTCTCTTGCCTCAGCCTCCCAGTAGTTGGGACTACAGGTCCCTGCCACAACGCTTGGCTATTTTTTTGTTGCAGTTTGGCTGAAGCCACGTTTGAACTCACCACCCTTGGTACATGGGGCTGGCGCCCTACCCATTATGCCACAGGTGCTGCCCAATTGTTTTTGTTTTTGAAACAGAGTCTCACTCTGGTACACTGGATAAAGTGCTATGGCGTCATAGTCCACAGCAACCTCAAACTCTTGGGCTCAAGTGATCCTCTTGCCTCAGCCTCCTGAGTAGCTAGGACTACAAGCGTGTGCCACCATGCCTGGCTACTTTTTCTATTTTTATATAGACTTGGTCCCACTCTTGCTCAGGCTGGTCTCGAATTCCTGAACTTAAACAATCCACCCATCTCAGGCTCCTAGAGTGCTAGGATTATAGGCGTGAGCCACAGCACCGGGCCTAGAATTTCCACTTTTGACAACCTACTGAATATAGTAAGGTATTTGACTAAGATACTGATTTGCAAATCCCAGATTACCAAGGAGGTTACATTTCTTAAGTATAATCAACTATCCACGGTCTACTGAACAGCCTTTCCTTTTCTACTATGCCACTCCTACAATGGAGCAACTCTCCCAATATACCCAAATCTAGTTTTAGGCTCCCTTCCATTGGTCAGTTTTTTTCTTGCTCCTATATTACCTTGATTAATAATTTTTTTTTTTTTTTTTTATTGAGACAG